CTAGAGTGGGACACGGCTGGACTAAATGTCAAGGGGAACTTTTACTTTCACCTAGCAGAAGTATAGACTCCAAATCCTCTCTATTCAGCACTGGTTAGGCCTCCTCTGTTCTGGAGACTACATTTTAAGAAGGGTGCTGGCAAACTGCGGCAAGTTCGGACGAGGGCGACAAGGAGGACAAGGGGGCTGGAAACCAAGCCCTAGAAGGAAAGACTGAAAGAACTGGCCATGCTTAGCCTTGAGAAGACAAAACAGAGGGAAGAGATAGGATAACGCTCTTCAAATGTTTTATAGATTGTCATCCAGAGGAGGGGGCGATAGGATAGCGCTCTTCAAATATTTTATAGATTGTCATCCAGAGGAGGGGGCAGGATATGTTCTCGATCATCCCAGACTGCAGGGCATGCAACGATGGGATAAGGTTACGGGAAGCCAGATTTTGGTTGAATATCAGGAAAAACGTCTTAACTGTTAAAGCGGTACAATAATGGAACCCATGACCTCAGAAGGTGGTGACCACTCCAAGGATTGGACAATCCTCTGCTTTGATCTGGATCCCAGCCTTGAGCAGGAGGTTAGTTATAATTAGTTAATTGTTTTGAATAGTAGTTCCCAGAATCCCCAAGAGGGCATGGTCTCTGGACTTGCTGGCAGATTTATTTGGGGGTGGGGGTGGGTTACAGGAAGAAGAAGAAGGAGGAGTTTTAACATAGTTAAATGTAACCATTTTGTGAAAGGAAACAGTTACGTTCTAAAAAAATATTTATGCTGGCAACTAATTACTTTTGGAGCCTTGGAACTATAACGGTGAATAAGGGCATGTCCACATTGTGAAATTTGGTGCCGTCTGGTCTGTGCTTAAAAACATGTTATTTTGAGTGCAGTCTGTCTTCACTCTCACTTGAGGAATCCTTCCTTCCACACTGGAGCTTGTGCTGTGGGTCCTCTTCCCCTATGCTACAGGTCCATACAGAGCAAGGTTTACTCACTTTACTAGCAAGCAAAGTGTACTTAGTTTACATGTGAGAAAGTGTATGCAATTAGTTTACAAGTAAGTTTATACTCACAAGTAAGAAGGCAGCATCAACAGCTGCAGGGTGAGAGAAAAGTGTTGTGGTGAAGGTTGTGGAGATGGAAGGGAGGTAATTCCCCCATTTCCCACTGTTCTCTTTATCCGGGGTTCTGCTGGGGATGCACTTCCTTGTGGGATGGAGCTCATGGAGTTCATATATCCCCCTTCCCTTTACTTACTTTATTACATTTCTCTTTGTTTATTGTTATACTATTTGTTTTGGTTTTACTCAACTGCCCAGAGTTGTTCCTCACACTAACTGGAGAGTATAAACGTTTTATAAACAAAGAAAGAAACAAATTCCTGGCTTTTTCTTGTGGCTTTGATGTAACTATCCTTCTTTATTTTTTATTTATTCTATTTTTTGTTAAAGTAAGTGGCACATTGAAATGACAATGCATCAACCTTCTATATTATTAGAATTTTGCAGAGTTGGTTAGAGAAATGCTAGAAGTAGAAGGAGAAGAAGGAGAAGAAGAAGGAGGAGGAGGAGGAGGAGGAGGAGAAGAAGAAGAAGGAGGAGGAGGAGGAGAAGAAGGAGAAGAAGGAGAAGGAGAGGAAGGAGAGGAAGGAGAAGAAGGAGAAGAAGGAGAAGAAGAGGAAGAGCAGGAGGAGTTATCCTGGCCAGAGAATTCTGGGGGTTGTTGTCCCAAAACCATAAGTGTTAACAGTTCCACAACAAGTTTATTTCCTAACTGCTGGACAGCTCAGTGGTCTAGGTCTCTGGCTTTAGAGGTTGGGAGTTTGATTCCCCACTGTGCCTTCTTGACAGGGACGGGACTTGATGATCCAGAGGGTCCCTTCCAGCTCAGCAGTGATTATTATTAATGGAAATGAAGCTTTTGAACAAGCCCAGTAAAGCAACATAGCTTGCTTGTCACCCTCTTTCTCCCTGAGGTGAAGGGATCGCTTGCGTCTAGGATGCTTAGCAGACGAACGTTGTTCCCCTAGCATGTTAGCGCTATAGCACGCTCTTACACACCTTATGGCTGACCATCGCTCTCTGATTAAAATGCTCTTTATAGTTAATAGTTTAATCCTTGTCATGTGATTTGAGTGGGATTTGATGGCTTGTTTATTAGGTTCATTAGGGATGTGGTGGCGCTGTGGGTTAAACCGCAGAACCCTCTGGGATGCAAGGTCAGAAGACCAGCTGTCGTGAGATCGAATCCACGCCACAGAGGGAGCTCCCATCGCTTGTCCCAGCTCCTGCCAACCTAGCCATTCGAAAGAATGTAAAAGTGCGAGTCAATAAATGGGGACCACCTCGGTGGGAAGGTCATGGTATTCTGTGTCTAGTCACGCTGGCCACGTGACCACGGAAATGGTCTTCAGGCAAACGCTGGCTCTATGGCTTAGAAACGGGGATGAGCAACGCGCCCTAGAGTCGGACACAACTGGACTAAATATCAAGGGGGGAACCTTTTACCTTATTAGGTTCAACTGCGTTCTTGTGTCACTAATTCTCATGACCACAGAAACAGCCACCACCACCCCAACCCTGGGCAGGTTTACACAGGTTAAAGTCACAGATAGTCACATTTCTAGTGTTGCTACCATACAATCTCTCCGTTTCTTTCCTGCTCGCAAACAGCGCCACATGAGCCCCTTTTGGGTCCTGGTGGACTCATTCGTCAGTGGAAGGAGGTCAACACTGACTAAAGACTTTGGTGCTGTTGTAGTCAGTATTAAAAGCGATTCCTCTCGGCGTAGCCACTACTGGGTTCCAGTTTGACCAGATAATTACTTTTTAGGAGTAGCCGGAGACCTCCGTTTCTGCCTACGCAGTTCCTTAGCAACCACAAAGCTCTTGTGGAGCCCCTTGCTTAATTATACCCTAATTTCTGGACTGTACCTCAGCTTTTCTTAAGGATTAGATGGAAACTAGCAGCAAACAAGGATCGGGAAAGAGGCCGACGAGGTTTATGCTGAATTTTCAAACTCTAGCTCCATGAGCCATGCCAACCCATATTCCTTCTGCTGAAATTTTCAAGGGTCAAATCCCTTTGAAATTTTCAAGGGTCAAATCCCTTTGCTTCCGTAAATCCAACAAGATTCTTCCCACACAACCAGGCAGCCTGGAAAGCCATAAACCCATGGAACCCCTTAATAGACAGTGTTTTTGTTCAGCCCCCCCTCTAAAGTTGACTCATTTTCATTTTTTTTGCTAGCGCTAATCATCATTCATGCAAGAGTGAAAAATCCGTTGATTTGTTTGCTTGCTTGCTTTTGTGAGTCTTGGTATGTTTTTGTTCAAAGAAAATTTGCAAGTGTCCAGTATGCCCTAAATTCAAAGCTAGACACCACTTATGAACTGGGAGGTTCCATTATATTAGGGAGCTCAGCCACTGTTCTTGGGCTATACCTCCCATTATCCTTGACAACGCTAACTGGAACCCAGAAACATCCATGTCACAGTTCCTCATTACATCGTGACTCATTGCCACTGAAAAGCACGTCCTACAATGAACAATGAATAGGGCTCCAATCCACAGAAGACCACACCATGCAGTGGTTCCCAGCCTTGAGTCTCCAGATGTTCCTGGACTAAAACTTCAATAAACCTTGGCCATTTAGCTGTGCTGGCAGGATTTCTGGGAGTCTTTGTCCAAGAACATCTGGGGATCCAAGATTGGGAACCACTAACACCACAGAACAATGGTTCTCAACCGTTTGTAACTTATGACACACTAACCCCTCTTCCTAGAAACCAGTGTCCCACCATGAAAGATACAAACCCCCTTCTTCTTCTAAGTTCACAGACAAACTAGAGTACGTCCACTGAATTAACGACATATATGGTGACTCACCAAATCTCCGCTGATTCAATGGGTCTACTCTAGTTGCTATTTATGCAAAAGACGATAAATGTGGGCTTGGGAGAAAATTTCAGGATCCAAAGGTACTACCAAAAGGTCACGGATACATGATTCATGGCCAGGAGATTTGACAGAAGAGGCCATGCCTGCAACAGGACATGGGGATGGATGGCGAGCTAGTTCTCAGCATTTGAGAAGGATAACCCCGTCTCCCACCTATTTCAGAGAAAACTTCATGGTATTTCTCAGATGCCTCCTGGCCACGTTTTCCAAAAGAAACACCCACCTGCGGAGAATTATTACAATTCTCGTCCTAAATTACATTTTTCCTGCACAAAAGATTCTCCAGAAAGGGCACCCAACTGTGCAGAATCTGTTGGCATCTTTCATAAAAGGACAAACAAGACACAGAGAAGAAGAAAAATCAGCAGGGGAAAAAATGGGACTGGATGTCTCATTGTTGTGGGAAGTTGCATAATTGTGAGCTGGTGGAAATCTCAGTGAGGAATCCCAGCTTGGCAAGACTCAGAAATTCGCCAAGAATGGGATTTTTTGTTTTTTAGCCTTCATAGTCTTAGTGCCACCCAGACTGCCGCTATGTCCCACTATGGGGAGATGTGCTCTTGATTGCAACCAGGTACGGTAGGACTCTCTTATCTGGGGGATCAGTATCCACTGATTCACTTATCTATGGCCTGAAAATATTAAAAATATCAAAAGAAAAATCACCGAAAGATAACATTCTCATCGTGAAGCTACAAGAACTGACCACTAGAGGGCGCCAGTGGCCATGCTATGTATAGCATTAACTTTTATTATAGCATTTGCAATAATTCGCGTTTTTCAGAGTGGAACCGATGTCCAGCGGAGAGAGGGGTCCTACTGTAATTTGTAACTAGTTCAGAGGATTCAAGACAATTTCATTCTCCCTCTATTTGTGTGTCTAATCTTGTTTAAAGCTATCCATGCTGTGGGTCGCCAGCGCCCTCATCTTTTGGTTAATTTCGGCCCAATTAAATTCGTTCGTCCGAAACCTCTTAATAAACCATTTCATGGGGTGACGCCCCTGCCCCGCCAGTTCTAGTCTTATAAGCAAAGACAGGACCTACCTTTCTACCCAGTTCTTATAGCTGGGAATATCCTTGGCGTAAAGCAGCTTATTTGATGGGGAATCTTTGCCCAAACGGTGCTCTGAGGTTGAACAGGAGTCCATGAAGGTTTGCGCTACCACCGACAGGCAGGCATCCGTGATGCTGTTCTTGTGGATGTCGAAGACAAACTGTGGGTTTTTGATCATGTTGACCCAAAACCTTAGCGGCAAACTTTAAGGGGGGAACAAAAGGAGTTAAGAAACTAAGAGGAATGACTTAGGCAAATTTGCTGTGCTTAAATAACATCTTTTCACAAAAGGAATTTCTTAGCCAATTCTGAAAAAAACAAACAGAATTCTTATTATCTTATCCAAAGCAGCATGTGTGTGTGTGTGTGTGTGTGCGCGTGCGTGCGTGCGTGTGCGTGTGTGTGTGTAAACTAGCACTGTGAAAGTTTAAAATGTTGTGTCTATAGTGTTAAAATAATTAAGGAGAGTATGGAAAAAACAGCCCCAAAAATGAAAGTATGTTTAAAAGTGAGGCTGGAATATAGTTTGCTACAGTCATTGCAAAACAATTATTAGGTGTACCAAAACTATTTGCCGGCTTTACAGGTGAGCATGGTCACCGATACATAACAATTCTGGCAGATCAATGTGCTTATTTTACAATGAACATATTTATGTTACAATATGTTAACATAAAGTGCCATTCATAAGTTCTACAGTGTAGAACTTATTATAATATTTTAAGTCTAGCATTTCATGATTTTAAGGTGACAATATTCTGTGTTATAAGTTCCAGATGTTACAGAGGCTTAATGTTAGAGTCTTATGTGACTGCAATGTGAATGCAACATTGAAGTCAACAATGCTTCATATTCCGCCATGCACTAGAAACAAACAACACTGATATGTAGCAGAACCAAGCTGAGCCAAGCTGAAGAGCTGGAGGGAGGAAAAAGACAATGAACAGTGCAGAGAAGATACAGAAATCATGGTTTTTCTCCATACATTTTAACTGGTAGACGGCTGGGCGAGCATTTAGAAAATGTATTATTTTTCTCTCTGTTATTATTATGTTTTGGAAGTCATCTACTTTATATATTCTTACTTACAACAACTTTGATATTTCTTCTATGCTTTTCAAGTAAGGCTAAAGACTACTTAAAGTTTTTATTATTTTTTTAAACTTTTAAATGATGTATTTTAGAGATGTATTCTCTGTCTTTTGCTTTTAAGTGTGCCTTGTTAGGCTATAAGCTCCTGCAATTTTAGAATGTAGTTTAGAACATCCTTTTTGATGTTTTATTGCACTTTTGGCCCTGTATTTTGGATGTAAGTTCTGTTTACAACTTAAATGTAAAAACCTGTACCTTTCCACAAAGAAAGTTTTTTTTTTTAAAAAAAGTATTTGTGTGTGCCTACAATTTTCTCCATCTCTGTAAGATTTTGCATTTTTACAGCAACTCTGAAGTATTTCATCTTGGAAGCACTGTAGATAAATAAAGCTTGTAAAATTAGACAAACTGATGTTGCTTGGAATTATTACAGCAATGAAAAGACTTATACCTTGATACTCAGATGAATTTTGACATGACTGTCAATGATTGTTTGGTTTCATTCTGAAATTAAGCCTTTTTTGAGATAATAGTATCTGGGAAATACACTTCTGATTTTTTTTCCATGGAGGTCTATAAAGTTTTTAAGACTCTTAGGGGGAGTAAAGCATAAGTTTATCTCATCTGACAACACAAAATTAATAAAACACAGAGAGTAATGAAACCATTTAATTTGAAATTAGACAAGACATCTTAAAAACCATAAGCTTCCATACTCAAGCATCTGCAAATAACTGCTGCTGAAGATTAAGCATAACCCAACAAAATAGACTTTTAAAAACTCTTGGGGGCAACAAAGCACAACCTAATGATCACATTCAACGCAGCCAATAAAACCATCAATTCAAACTATTTTCCACAAAATGCTGGAACATCCCAGTAAATAACAAGGTTTTCACTCTGCACCAGATTTTCTGTTAGGAGCTTCCCCAAGGGAAATACAAGGCATTACAAACCAAGAAAAGTCTTGATTTGCTTTCTGTCCACCTGATTTTGGAAGGATGACTACTACAGTCTGAATAATCATCAAATGCAATTATGCATGCATTCTGAGGATATAAAGGGTTAACTCTAACAGCTGGCTCATACTAGAATCAACTCATTGGATGAAAGGTACTTAATGTAATAGTCTATATCCAATGGCCTGCTAGTTGCATTAGAGTACACCTACTGACTCAATGGGCATTACATAAGTGTTGACTTACCATACAGCAGTTGAATCAGGACAGTGGCTTTCAACCTTTGGTCCTCTAGCTATTTTTGGACTTCAACCCTCAAGTCAGCATGCCAATAGTGCCACTGGGAGCTAAAGTCTAAAGTTGGCGAATCAAAGCCTGAAAAGCTACTGGATTCAGGTGCCACTGGGAGCTAAAGTCTAAAACAGTTGGTGAATCAAAGCCTGAAAAGCTACTGGATTCAACAAGTCCGCACTGGTTGGGGTTAGCAATAGGATACTGTTGAATGTTGTCATTCATTCAGTGCATTGATTCTGATTGGAACTAATAAATAACCAGTGTATGCCAGCTATCTTTAGATACCTAAAGGGTTATCACATGGAATACTGAGCAAGCTTGTTTTCTACAGCTCCAAAGGATAGGACTTGAGTCAGTGAATTCATATTTACAGGAAAAGAAACACTAAGAGCCCCTCTCTGACAGAGCTGGTTGATGCTGGAAGAAATGACCTAAGAAGGTGGTGGATTCTCCTTGGCTGAAGGTTTTGAACAATGCATCGATGGCCCTATGTCAGGGATACTTTAGTGGTGGACATCTGGATCATCAGAGGATTGGCCCTGATGCACTTGGGGTCTTTTCCACCTCTGCAATTCTGTAGTTTTTCTATGAATTAGATAATCCCATGTATGGAGCCCTGATATGCAGGGAGTAAGAGTGGGATTTGAGTGAAAGGCCAATTAGGATAATATCTAGTTCTATAATATGAATACCACCATCTACGTAGATTTTTCTTTGTCCGTTCCGAGGCAGGCAAAATCAATGTCCATCCTCTGCTGCAGACTACTTGAGCCTGATCAAAATGTTTCATTGCTTCTGTTCTTGGCCACCAATGCCCAACTACCTTCAAAAGGATCTTATCTGCCATTTAACAGAGATTTGCCCACCTCATGAGAAGAGAAGACTCCCTGGAAAAGACCCTGATGTTGGGAAAGTGTGAGGGCAAGAGGAGAAGGGGACGACAGAAGACAGGATGATTGAACAGTGTAATCGAAGCATGAATTTGACCAAACTCCAGGAGGCAGTGGAAGACAAGAGGGCCTGGCGTGCTCTGGTCCATGGGGTCACGAAGAGTCGGACACGACTTAATGACTAAACAACAACAACAACAAAATGGAAGGTATCCAAAGGACAACCCCATATCTACCTTGTGTGAGAAAGATGGTTGATCTAGGAGAAATAAAACTCCACAGATAAAGGCCTGAATCATATTGGGAATCCCATTGAATCAATGGGATCTACAGAACCATGGATTTACCATTCAGTACCTGATTCGTCTACTCTAGCTGGAATCACTATTTGGATTTAAGCCCAACGTATAGGGCTTCAAACTTTCCCGATGATTGATGCCAAGATGCACTTGGTTCTCAGTTTATCTCTTCTCTACCAAATCCTCCCAAATGAGGGATGTCTCTCTGTCTCTCTTTCTCTCTTCCCCTCTCTGCATCAGTCAACTGAAGATGAGTAAAGAAATGGTCGGTAAGAACGATGCTGGGAAAACTGATGGGGAATTAATTGAGTCTGATTGAGAAGAAATCATTTTTCTGTTTCCTGCCCCACCGTCTTTCCCCCCATTTTAAAATAAACCTCCTGCTCATTTAGTCTGAGTGGCTTCAATCAGACTTAGATTAGTGCCACAAATGATGCTAATAATATGCTAATGTTTCATTAGCTCACAATCTGGGTGGCTGCCTGGGGTTTCTTCCTCCTTTCCTTCTACTAAAAAAGAATTCAGTGGCAATGTGAACAACCTACATGGCTAATAAAAGTTAGTAGCACCCTTCTTAGAAGAAGAGCGAGTAGGAAAGCAGGGGGGGGGAGAGATTCTGGGGCCATTGGAGCATTGTGGATAAAGAGCAAATCACCCACCTGACAATCCTCCAGGTGCCTGGAGGAATTTGCAATGAGAACAAAAGTATTTTTCAGGGGTGTCAAAGTCCTAAGGTGGTGCTGGCAGGCCACAGTGGGGGCCATGGGGTGTGTGTGAACTGCCCAACTCTGCGATAAAACTAGCTGTGCATCAGGGAGGCCCCACTACGTGGATGACCTCAGCCAGCTGACCAGCTAGGGTAATTCCATGAGCTGTTGTCAAAAAACGGGAACTTTCCAAGCTCTACTAATCCTATCCTTCATGCAGACTAATTTTTCTTAATGTTGTACATCCGTCCGTCCGTCCGTCCGTCCGTCCATCCATCCATCATTCCTTCCTTCCTTCCATCCATCGATCCTTCCTTCCTTCCTTCCTTCCTTCCTTCCCTTCCATCCTTCCTTCCTTCCATCCATCATTAGCTCCTTCCTTCCTTCCTTCCTTCCTTCCTTCCTTCCTTCCTTCCTTCCTTCCTTCCTTCCTTCC